CTTAGGAATGTGGAACAGGAAGGTGGTTAGAACATGTTCAGTCTGTGGTTTTGACTTAATTCCTAAAATTTTAGTTAAAAAGTACGATGATTTGAATGTTTGTGGCCACCTAAAATTCATGTTGGAAAGCTAATCATCAATGTAATGCTGGTACGAGGTGGGGCCTTTGGGAGGTGATTTGACTATGAGAATGGAGACGTCCTGAATGGGATTTAGTGTTTGCCGTTTATAAAGTGGGCCCCAGGAGGAGTGGGGCCTGGCCCTTTTGCCATGTGAGGACGAGGTTTAAGATCCTTCTGGTGGGAAGGTGGAAGTGGGGACACTCAGAGACACCGGAAACAGCTGGGGCCGCCACATTGGCCCCAGGCTTCCAGAACTGGTGGCAGAAATAAATTTCTGTTGGTTTATAAGGCCACCAGTTTGCTTATATTTTGTATTATAGCAGCGCCAAATAGTTTTCTGCTGATAGTTGTGACTTTTTCTTTACAGTGGAACATATACTTGACTTCATATAAATCAGAAGAAACAATATAAAGCTAATGGGAACGGATCATCTATGAACTAGATTAATAAACCAAAGAATGAGCTGTACAAGTATTAAGAATATGAGATGCTACAATTTTACGTGAAATGGAGCCAAATCTGACTGGCGTGGTGGCGTCATGGCCTGGTTAATCCCAGGCACTCTTTGGGGGGCCGAGTGGGGCAGATCACGAGCGGTCAGTGAGATCGAGACCATTGCCTGGCACACGGTGAAACCCCGTCATCTACTAAAAGTACAAACAAATTTAGCCGTCGTGGGTGGTACAGGACGCCATTACTCCGGAGGCTGAGGCAGGAGAATGGCCGGTGAACCCGGGAGGCGGGGGTTGCAGTGAGCCGGAGATCCTGCGCACTGGACTCCAGCCTGGGGCGAGAGGCGAGATCAAAAAAAAAGAACAAATCTGTGTTAAATTTATTTGGTGTAATGATGTGTGTTGTGATTAGGTTATTGTTCTTACAAAGGATACATGCTGAAGTATTAGAGATGAAGTAACATGATGCCAGCAATTTACTTTCAAATTTTTCAACCGGGGAAACAAAAGAGAGAGTTTCTGTGTGATATTATATGTCTGTGTAAGTCTGTGTGTGTTTGTGTTGGGAGAGAAAGCATGAGTGTAAACCGGGCAAAATGTTAATATTTGGGGGAAAAAGGTAAAGTATGTACATGTATCATAGTACTTATTTTTCAACTTTCAATAGGTTTGAAATTTTTTCCAAAATAGTTGGGTAAAATAATGTTTATAAATTTTGTAAAAATACCCATTATATTAACTTAAAAAGGTAGGATTTCATGGCAGCTGTCTTTACACTAATAGGGGTTATAGATGATTTTCTTTTCATTTTCTTTCTGAGACAGGGTCTGGCTCTCGTCACCCAGGCTGGAGTGCAGTGGCCGTTCACTCAGCTCACTGGCAACCTCTACCCTCCTGGGCTCAAGCCTCCTCCCACCTTAGCTCCCCAGTAACTGGGACTACAGGCATACCCACCACACCCGGCTAATTTTTTAATTCTTTTTCTAGAGATGGAATTTGTGCCATGTTTCCAGGCTGGTCTTGAATTGTCCTGGGCTCCAAGCAATCTGCCCCCACCTCAGCCTGCCAAGGATTACAGGTGTGAACCACCACACTCAGCCTGATCAATTTTCTTTCTACTTGTCTGTGCTTTCTCAATTTTATTTATGTATTTATGTGTGTATGTATGTATTTATTTATTTTTGAGACAGTTTCTCACTCTGTTGCCCAGGCTGGAGCGTAGTGGTGTGATCACGGCTCACTGCAGCCTTGATCTCCTGGGCTCAGGTGATTCTCCTACCTCAGCCTCCCAGGTAGATAGGACTATAGGCGCATGCCACCATGCCTGACTAATTTTTGCATTTTTTGTAGAGACGAGGTTTCACCCAGGAGTCTCAAACTCCTGGGCTCAAGCCGTCTGCTTGCCTTGGCCTCCCAAAGTGCTGGGATTATAGGCATGAGCCACCATGCTTGGCCCTTTCTCAGTTTAAATAATAAGGATATCATATTTGGGGAATTATAAAAATTGTTTTTAAAAATAGCGTATTTTAAAATGTGAATTTATAAGCAGAAAAGGATCCTTTGTTTCAGTAATTTTGAGGGATGATATATGAGACATCCAATAGGATAATGATCTATGTAATGAGAAAGAGTGTGTGAATGATGGATGGGATATTAATATAATAATAGAAACCAGTTACTGCATCTTTCAAATGTTAAGAACGTCATATACTCAACTTTTGTAATCATCACAACAATGTTGTAAATGGTATTAATAATCATCTAAACTTTTATAGATACTAAATAACAGAGTAAAAATGGAAACAAAGGCCAGGCAAGTTGGTGCACGTGTGTTATTCCAGAACCTTGGGAGGCTGAGGTGGGAGGATAGCTGGAGGCCTGGAGTTTAAGACCAGCCTGGTCAATATAGTGAGACTCCATCTCTATGAAAAATTTAAATATTAGTTGAGCATGGTGGTCTGGGCCCTATAGTTCTAGCTACTTGGGAGGCTGAGGCCAGAGGACTGCTTGAGCCCAGGAGTGAGCTATGATCATGCCACAGCACTCTAGGCAGCCTGAGTGACAGAGCCTCTTAAAAAAAAAAAAAAAAAAAAAGACACAATGTTAAAACAAAAGTTGAAACAAAGTCTATCTTAGATTTCCAGAGTTTATACTCTGATAGTTTCTTATAATAGAGAGAAACTTTATAATTGGATTCCAGCTGGCTGACATAGTAAACTAAGCTGGGCAAAAAGATAAATAGCAGATAGTAGGTCTCACCTGACCAGAAATGTAACCTAGTCTGTCATGAGATTAGAATTAAAAGAAGGAAAAAAAAAAAAAAAAGAATAGAATTGTAAACCTAGGCTGGGAGTGGTGGCTCACCCCTGTAATCCTAGTACTTTGGAAGGCTGAGGTGGGCAGATCACTTGAGTCCAGGGGTTCAAGACCGGCCTAGACAACATGGTAAAACCCTGTCTCTACAAAAACTACAAAACAGTTGGATGTGGTGGGGTGCGCCTGTAGTCTCAGCTATGCAGGAGGCTGGGGTGGATGTGGTGGGGTACGCCTGTAGTCTCATTAAGCAGGAGGCTGGGGTGGGAGGGTTGCTTGAACCCAGGAGACTGAAGCTTCAGGGAGCAATGATTGTGCCATTGCACTCTAGCCTGGGCAATGGAGAGACTCCACCTCCAAAATAAATACATAGATAAGAAATGTAAACCTAAAGAGTAATTAGAAGATGCCTTTAAAGTGAAAAGCAAAGGTTTCTCCTCTAATACTGGCAGTACATTTTAGAAAAATTTCTTTTTATTAACATTCAGAGCTATCGAGCGAATCTGAGTGATATTCAGGTAGTATAAATAGGAAAAGACTAGTGCACCATGTTAATTGCTATATAAGCATTACCATCTATGAGACCTTGTTGATGGATAAGCTCGGAGCTCTTTCAAGAAAGAACAACCAACATTCCATCAGTGTTGCTTAGTCTATAAAAAGCATAGTCATCTATTCCTTGAGTGGGATAGATGACCCCAATATTAAGCCAATAAACAATACCCCAATATTAACAATATTAACCCAATATTAAATGTTAATGTTAAACAACATTAACCCAATATTAAACCAATAAACAATGATCCCAGTGTCAAACCAATAATGAAGGAAGTTAATACATGGGATATTCATGCTTAATTTCATTTAAATCCTGAAATTAGGTTGACACGAAACAACGACAAAGAACACTTGGTTTTAGATGGGTTGAATGTAAAAAGAAGGATAAGAAAATAACGATTTCTCCTTTGCTAAATGGATTCTCCTAAGTTCAAGGGAAATGAGAGTCGACTAATAGTAGATATAATTCAATCAACCTTTTCTTTTGTTTCATTTTTTTTGTATGTGTATGGGACAGAGTCCAGCTCTGTCGCTCAAGCTGCAATGGCGTGATCTCGGTTCACTGCAACCTCCACCTCCCGGGTTCAAGCAATTCTCGTGCCTCAGCCTCCCAAGTAGCTGGGATTACAGGCACGCACCACCACACCTAGCTAATTTTTGCATTGTTAGTAGAGACAGGGTTTTACCATGTTGGCCAAGCTGGTCTTGAACTCCTGACCTCAAGTGATCTGCCCACCTCGGCCTCCCAAAGTGCTGGGATTACAGGTGAGAGCCACCATGCCTGGCCCTCATTTTCTTTTGTTTCTTTTAATTCATTTTATACATTAGTGATCACAAAGTTTATCCCAGGTTGGTGTCCCACTTTTACCTGGCACACTTTCTAGTTGCTTCTCACAGTTAATTCAGAGGCCCGATGGGATACAAAATTTTAGCGTGGGCTTCAAGAAAATAAAGTTTAGAAAGTAGGTTATAATGCTGGAAAAAAGTCATAAATTTCTAAATAAAAAGTAAATTATTTGGGGGTGTGTATACTATAGTTCTCTGTTGGCAGAGGAAATGAAGTGCTGATATTAAATAAATGGTTTTAATTAGAATTTAAATAACAGGTAAATACTTGTTTCTCTAAGTATACTTCGAGAATTGGAACCAAGATTATAATTCGAAAAAAATCATACAAACATGTTTTAGAATAAAATCTAAGAAGGAAAGAATTTTGATTAACCAAATAACAGCTTTCATTTTAATTATAAACTATCATTTGGCATTTATACACATAAAATATATGTTTAACTGAATATTTTGTACAAACTCTATGAGTATTCCAGATACAGAATTATGATTATAAAATAAAACAATCAAGATATTTCAAGGAAGCATGTGATTCAGTGCCAAAATTACAGTGGTATATCTGTCACAATAGTTATAGCCCATAAAATGTTGACATGAGAACTCTATGTAGGCAATTAATTGCTAGAAGAATAAATGATTTTCATTATGCAGAACATAGAAAGGGACACAATGCAAAATAAAGATATGAAAGCCTTCAGAATGTCTTTATGTGGTTGCTAGTAAGATGACAAGACATAAAGCTATAAGAATCTGGCCATGTGAAATATTTATAGTAAGTTTGCCTTGAGTGCTTGCGTGGAAGAAGTGCTCTGTCAGCCACTTTTGGTAGAAGTATGGCCCAATATAGATACCAGGAAAACCTCTTCGACCACAGCCATGTCCGTAACTGGTAATTCCCATTACAAAAAATCTTTTATATTCTGGTAAGTAGCACATTAATGGTCCACCACTGTCACCCTGTCAAAAAAGTCCCCAAATAGTGTTTGTTACTTCTAGTATTCTTCAAGCAACAGTAATTCTGGAATAAATTATTTACATCAAACATACATTTATATAAATACATGTTTTCAATATACCCCCAACTTATAAAGATCATAGATTTTGAGCTTAATCTTCCAACTCAAACAGGAGGAATTCAGTTTTGCCCAGGTATTTGGAGGAACCATACAGCTGGTAGATAAACGTCTCATCTGCCTAGTTTTGAGCCAGAATATTATAAATCAAATTGTTTGGATTTTTAAATACAATTACTCAGGGGAAATATAATTTAGGAAGTATGCAAAATATTGTAAAAACTGTCTATTTTTAGAATATTCTCTTGCTTAATACTGTGTGTGGAAAGTATAACTCTAAGATGTATGAAGGATTCTTTTAGGCATGTGTGTGGTTTGCTTGCCAAGGAGAGGAGTAAACTGGCATCTTGCAAGAGATGACAAGTTTCTAAGTGCTGACAATGGCTAGTGCAGCAAAATAAGCATAAATGGCAAAGCCTCTCAGTAGTATTATAAATGACAGTCACTTTCATAGTATATACAAAATTATGAATGCACCCAACACTGTTACTAAGGCCTGTTAATGCACTCAAAACAACAAGGACACTGAGATAACTGTTTCCAATTCTCTATACAAGGCAGGCATTGAATAATTATTTTTTGATGAGGAGGATGTTTGGCCTAGGAATGCAATCCAATTAGAATGGATTCTTTACTATTTTACTCAGCAAGATTTTTAAGGAAAAGGACACAGGAAAGATAAACTTTAGATTGCAGAAATGAGAATGAGTAGGAAAAGGTGAGAGCGTGGGGTACTCAGGAGTGAAGGACTAGTAGATTTGGAAACAAGAAAAGAGGAATAAAGGAAGAGTAAAAAAGCATGAGACAAAACAAAAAATGGATCAATTCTACTTCTTTAAAAAATTAACATTTGTGCTGCAAATGATAACCTCAGAAAAGTGAAAAAACAGTCTACAGAATGGGAGAAAAATTTTGTACATTATATATCTGGTAAGGGACTTGTATCCAGAATATATGAAAAAGGCTTATAACTCAGTGATAAAAAGACAACTCAATTTAAAAATGAGGAAGGGATCCAAATAGACATTCCGTAAAGAAGCCATATGAATGGCTAATAAATACATGCAAAAATGCTCAACATCATTAGTCATTAAGGAAATGCAAATTAAAACCACTATGAGATAGCACTTCACACCCACAAGGATGTATTATTAAAAAAAGACAGTAACAGGCTGGGCGCAGAGGCTCACACCTGTAATCCCAGCACTTTGGGAGGCCAAGGTGGGCAGATCACTTGAGGTCAGGAGTTCGGGACCAGCTCGGGACCAGCCTGGTCAACAAGGTGAAGCCCCATCTTTACTGAAAATATGAAAAAAAATATCCAGGCATGGTGATGTGCGCCTGTCTTTCCAGTTACCTAGGAGGCTGAGGAATGAGAATCACTGGAACCTGGGAGGCAGAGGTTGCAGTGAACAGAGATTGTGTCACTGCACTCCAGCATGGGTGACAAAGCGAGACTATTAAAAAAAAAAAAAAATTGAGCTGTACACTTTTAACTAGGTGAATTATATCTCAAAGTCAATGATTTAAAAAAAGGATTCAAGGTAAATTCTGCCTATGGTTGACCCCGATGATAGTAGAAACCATGGAATCAGGAACCAAGAAGATTTGGATTGTTGAAATAGTTAAAAAGGAGAAAAAATAATTTAGTATTTTTAGGCCTGATAATTAAGACCACCAGAAAGTTATCAAAGGCCTTGTTTGACAAGTTCCCTTCTGGCTTCAGAAAATATTTTAAAGGAAAATTACTTGGTCTTACCCTGCAAGTATCAAAAGCTCCATCTTCATCACCTGCACAAAATGAAGTGTTGGGAATTATTCCCCCATAACTCCTCTCAGAATTACACATCTCTCGAGAAATATAATGCACTTCTGCGTCTTGTAAAATATTGGTAACGTTACCTGTTAACAAAAAATACCAGTAAGTTATCTTGGAGCACAGACATTTTCACAGTGATTTATTATTATTTTTTTTTTTGTATTTTTAGTAGAGACGGGGTTTCACCGTGTTAGCCAGGATGGTCTCGATCTCCTGACCTCGTGATCCGCCCGTCTCGGCCTCCCAAAGTGCTGGGATTACAGGCGTGAGCCACTGCACCTGGCCCCACAGTGATTTAAATGTTGGTGTTTTATAACCAACATTTTATAAGTTTTCTTTCCAAAGTGACTGATTCAATAATTATGTAAAAATATATTCATATGTATGTGTATGAATATGTATGTATGCCTAGGAAGATTGTAGAATGTTTACCTAAATGTTTGTTTGTTTTTGAGATAGGGTCTTGATCTGTTGCCCAGGCTGGAGTGCAGTGATGTGACCTCGGCCCACTGCAACCTCTGCCTCCTGGGTGCCAGCCACTCTTGTGCCTCAGCCTCCCGAGTAACTGGGATTACAGGTGCGCATCACCACACCTGGCTAATTTTTTTTTTTTTTTTTTTTTTTAAATTTTTGAGATGGCGTCTCACTCTGTCGCCCAAGCTACAGTGCAGAGGCGTGATCTCGGCTCACTGCAAACTCCGCCTCCCGGGTTCAAGCGATCCTCCTGCCTCAGACTCCTGAGCACTCACCATTATGCCCAACTAATTTTTGTAGTTTTAGTAGAGATGGGTTTCACCATGTTGACCAGGCTGTTCTCGAACTCCTGACTTCAAGCGATCCACCCACCTCGGCCTCCCAAAGTACTAGGATTACAGGTGTGAGCCACCACGCCTGGCCAGATGCGCCTTTGTATATTCCCACTAGCAAAGTATGAGGGTTCCAAATTCTTCACATCCTCATCAAGGCTTGTTATTGTCTAGCTTTTTAGTTATAGTCATCCTTGTGTGTCATCCCAGCACTTTGGGAGGCTGTTTTAAAATTACTGCTAGTGTATAGAAATGGAATAGATTTTGTATATGGTCTTATACTGGCTGTATTACTAAACTCTGTTAATTCCAATGGATTTTAGAGCCTATTTTAATTACATCATCTGTGACTAATGAATATTTTGTTATTTCCTTTGTAAGTTGTGTGCGCATCTTTTTCTAGTATTAACACACCTGGTAGGACTTCTACAATATTGAATACAAGTGGAGAAATTGTTCCTGACTTTAAAGGAATGTTTTACTGTAATGATGTTTGCAGTAGTTTAGAGGTCAATAACCTTAATTAGGTTAAGGAAATTCCCTTCTATGTCTAGACTGTTAAGAGTTTCTAACAACGCTTCTACTGCATTTATTCAGATAACATTTTTTTATCCTTTAACCAATCTGTGATGAATTACATCAAGAGACTTCTAATTTTATTTATATTATTATTTTTGAGACAGGGTCTCGCCCTGTTGCCTGGGCCGCAGAGTGCAGTGGCACAATTAGCTCACTGCAACCTCAAACTCCTGGGTTCAAGCAATCCTTCCGCCTCAACCTCCCAAGTAGCTGGGACTACGGGCATGTGCCACCATGCCCAGCTAATTGTTATTTTTGGTAGGGATAGGGTCTTGCTGTGTTGCCCAGGCTGGTCTCAAACTCCTGGCTTCAAGTGATCCTGCCACCTTGGCCTCCCAAAGGGCTGGGATTGCAAGCATGAGCCACTGCACCCAGCTGAGACTTCTAATTTTATTTTATTTCATTATTATTTATTTATTTTTTGAGACAGAGTCTCACTGTGTCACCCAGGCTGGAGTGCAGTGACGTACTCACTGCAACCTCTGATTCTTGGGTTCAAGTAATCCTCCCTCCTCAGCTTTCCAAGTAGCTGGGACTACAGGCACACACCACCACGCCCAGCTAATTTTTAAATTTTTTGTAGAGTTGAGGTCTTGCTATATTGCCCAGGCCATTCTTGAACTCCTGGGCCCACGCAATTCTCCTGCCTTGGCCTCTCAAAGTGTTGGAATTACAGGTGTGAACCACCACAGTTGGCTGACTTCTAATTTTAAACCACCCTTGGATTCCTGAGATAAACCTAATTTGGTTATGATTAATTCTATTATTTTTTTGAACCAGGGCCCTGCTCTGTTGCCTAGGCTGGTGCCTAGTGTAGTGGCACAATCATAGGTTGCCGCAGCCTCAGCCTCCTGGGCTCATGTGATCCTTCTGCCTCAGCCTCTTGAGTAGCTAGGACTACAGGTATGCACCACTATGCTCAGATAATTTTTTAGTTTTTTTGTAGAAACAGTGTCTCAGTATGTTGCTCAAGCTGGTCTTGAACTCCTGGCCTCCTAATTTGGCCTCCCAGAGTGCTGAGATGACAGATGTGAGCCACTGTACCTGACCATCAATTCTATCTATAATATTCTTTATAGATGTAGTATGTTATTACTAATAATTTGTTTGGAATGTCTGCATTTATAACATTGGGCTTTCTCTTACTACGATTACTTGATTTTGGAATCAATAATAGGATTATTCTCATACACTGACATGGAGTATATTCCTTCCTTTTGTATTCTTTGGAAGCATATGTATATAATTTAAATAATCTTCCTCTAGTATTTTTTTTTTATTATACTTTAAGTTCTAGGGTACATGTGCACAATGTGCAGGTTTGTTACATATGTACACATGTGTCATGTTAGTGTGCTGCACCCATTAACTCATCATTTACATCAGGTATATCTCCTAATGCTATCCATCCTCCCTCTCCTCACCCCATGACAGGCCCCAGTGTGTGATGTTCCCTTTCCTGTGTCCAACTGTTCTCATTATTCAATTCCCACCTATGAGTGAGAGAGAACATGCAGTGTTTGGTTTTTTTGTCCTTTGACCCGTTCTGCTGAGAATGAGGTTTCCAGCTTCATCCATGGTCCCACAAAGACAATGAACTCATCCTTTTTTGTATGGCGTGCAGCAGTTATTCCATGGTGTATACTGTGCCACATTGTTCTTAAGTCCAAGTCTAGCATCTGATGGACATTTGGGTTTGGTTCCCAAGTTCTTTGCTATTCGTGAATAGTGCCACAACTAAACATACTGTGCATGTGCCTTTATATTGCAGCGATGACTTGATACGAGCCCTTTGGTAATACACCCCAGCAAGGGATGGCCTGGTTCAAATGGTATTTTCTAGTTCTAGATCGCTTGAGGAATGTGCCACACCTGTTTCCACCAGTGGTTAAACTAGTTTACAGTCCCACCAACAGTGCGAATAGTGGTTCCTACATTTCTCCTGCGAGCACATCCTCTCTCAGCACCTGTTGTTTCTTGACTTTTTAATAGATCCGCCATTGTAACGTGGTTGTCGAGATGCGGTATCATCATTCGTGTTGTTGATACTTGCATTCTAGCCTCGACTGGCCATGATGATGAGCATTTTGTCTTCGAATGTTCTGTTGCTGCAAGAAGATGTCTTCTTGTTGAGAATTTTTTTATAGTCCTTTGCCGCCTTTTTGCATGTTTTTTTTTTTTTTCCCTTGTAAATGTGTCTTGAGTTCTTATTGTAGATTCTGGATATTAGCCAATTTGTCAGGATGAGTTAGATTTGCAAAGATGTTCTCCCTTCTGCATAGGTTACCCGTGGTGTTCACTCTGATGCAGTTTCCTTTTGCTGGCAGCAAGCGTCTAGTTAATTACGATCCCATTTGTCAGCTTTTGACTTTTATTGCCATTGCTTTTGGTGTTTTAGACATGAAGGCCTTGCCCATCTATGTCCTGAATTGGTATTTGCCTAGTTTCTTCTAGGGTTTTATGGTTTAGATCTAACATTTAATGTCCTTTAATCCGCATCCCCTGATAGTAATTTTGTAATAACAGGTGTAAGGAAGGGATCCAGTTTCAGCTTCTAGCAATGGCTATCAGTTTCTCCCAGCACCTTCACCGTTTAGTATAAATAGTTGATTTATCCTTCCGCATTTCCCCTTATTTTGTCCAGGTTTGTCCAAAGATCAGATGGTGTCAGCAGGTACTAGTGCTACTTATTGCTGAGTGGCTCCTGTTCTGTTCCCCACCTTGAGGGGCAGCGTATCTCTGTTTTGCCGTAACAACCAGTATACATGTTTTCCGCGTTACCCGAGCCTGTTAGTAAGTTCAGTCAGGTCCAGCATGATGTCGTCCGCAGGCGCTTTATATCTTGCTTAGGATTGTCTTGGCAATGTGGGCTCTTTTGTTCTGAGTTCTGGTTTTTTATTTTTGAAAAAACCTAATTACTGATTCAATTCTTTTACACTTTATAGGACTATAGAGGATTTCCATTTCATGTTTGGTCAATTTTGGTTAGTTACCATTTTCATATTTAGTCAATGTATTAATTTCAGTTTGGGCTAGTTATCATTTTCATATTTAGTCAATTTGTTAATTTCAGTTTTGGTTGTTTACAAAGGAATTTATTCATTTTGTCTAAGTACTAAAATTTACAGTATAACATTTTAAAAAGTACTGTGCTATATGTTAGTTCATAATATTAATTCGTTTTTGTGCCTTTTTTCCTTTTGCCATCAGTCTTACCAGTGGTTTGTTGTTTTTTCAGAAAACTGGATTTTGGCTTGTTGGTTTTCTCTTTTCTATTTTCTATTCATTAATTGTTGTGCTTACCTTTATTTCTTTTTTTCTGCTTTCTATGGGTTTAGAATGTTCTGTCTTTTTTTAGTCTCCCTTCATAGTAGCTGAGACTACAGACATATACCACCATGCCTGGCTGTAATATTCTTTTTTTTTTCTTTTTTAAAGAGAGATGGGGTCTTGCTCTGTTGCCCAGGCTGGTCTTGAACTCCTGAGCCCAAGCAATTCTCCCACATTGGCCTCCCAGAGTGTTGGGATTACAGGTGTGAACCACTGTACTTGGCCACTGCAATGTTTATTTAAACTTTAAAAAAGTTAGACTTTGAATTCACAGTGTTCAGACTTTATTCTTCAATACTAGGTCAAATATTTGCTCTTCCATATGATTCAAACTATATATATATATATATATATATATATTTTTTTTT